CACCCCTCTGCTCTTCTTAATACCATCTTCCACGGTCTCCTCTATTGTTATTGTTGTATTGTTGTAATTATAATTGTGTCCTGTCTTGTGAAATTTTCTTATTTATTGTTGTAGTCTTCTTATTTATTGTTATGTCATCCTGTAAAGCGCTTTGAGAAGCCACCTTTAAAGGCGCTATATAAAATAAAGTTTATTATTATTATTATTATTATTATTATTATTATGTGTGTTGAGGGTTGACTGATTGGAATTAAATGGCAGTAACAACTTCTAGACACACAGTGCCCAAAGCTCACTTTCACTCTTAACCTCTACAATCAGAACTGATCTCTCTCTCTCTGAAGTGGCATTACTGTATAACACTCTCAGCTCCAGCTTTTCTGCTTTCAAGATTCATTTAAAAGTAATCCCGTGAGACATTTGATGTGCATGCAAGTCTTCTCTCAGTCTTAACCTGCTCACTGGAGTATAAATTCTGCACAGCATTAAAATTCCTGGTCATAGACTGAGGGACTTTTGTGAGAAATTTTACAATATATGGTTTAGGCTGCTATGACCAAAGTGTCTTCAGATGTCCTACAGTTTGAAACTCCAAAAGTGGTTTGAATAGAGATGGACCAACATCAAAAGACTCACTGATCTCTGCTTGTATTAAGCGTTGAGGTTTTCTACTTTACCCAGACAGATATTGTAAAAGAATTTTATACAACTCCTTTCTGCTGTAGCATTCTGAGCCAGTTAATCTGTTACTACATAAGGCGCATACTTTAAGCTGTTTGATTAAAGTACACAGCAGCTATTTACACACTGACATCAAAGTATGTAAAATATTTAATATAATAATTTATTTTTGTAAACATATCTTAAAAATAAGGTACTTCATACCTAATTACTTACCATGCATAGAAAATACTGGGTTTTACAAAACAAATACAGACGTACTAAGTCAAATGCTTGAAATAAGAAACTGTGAGCATGGTCAGAGTGACAGATACTGAAGAGGGGTGGGTAGAGCTCTGCTGCTGTCATCAGACCCACCAGTCCATCCTGATGTGAATCGACTGGCTGTACTACAGCGGCAGAGTCCAGAATTAGAATTCAAGTTGGCTGGAGGAGATCAAATAAAAACAATGGCCCATTAAATGTGCTAATTATCCTGTTCTCCGCCCATCCTGATAGTTGTCTTTGTGCAATGTTTTCTGAAGTTAACATGGCTTGACTTCACATAGGACCTGTACTGTAGGAAAACAACAAAGAAGAGTGTGGTATATGGATGTCAGGATATGCACCAATTAAGGAGCACACCAGAAATACTACTGTATATATCTATCAGTCATTAGACTGAAATTCCTGAGCTGGTAAGTTGTAGGAGCAGCAGGAATAATTGTAGTTCCATTATTCACTTTAAGATTTAAGAAGGGTTACTGCTGAGTTTCTAAAATTCCAAGACAGATTTCATTTCTAGCTTCCATCATAAAAACAAACAGGTGCTGCCTAAGTAATTTACTGCTGGAAATAATTTTATGTGCTTCTAGTGCGACTAGATTTTTGTTAATTTAGATTTTAGTAATATTTCTGATGATAGCCTTCCTGTGTAACTCAGCACTAACCACTACAAGCAAATACGTTGTAATTTTACTCAATAGTACTGATGACATAACTGCAAAGCCATGATCTTAAAGTTTACATGAATACTTTATGACCTTTCATAATAATTAAGCCAATACGCTGTAGCTGGTAGCATTATCAAAGATTACTTACAATCTTTCTGACATGACTATGCTAAAGCCAGTCCAACACATTACCCCTGCAGAGGAAAGATACAATTTCCCATGTCTCCTACTGTATGTCTGAAGAGTTTTGGAGTAGCAGTGAATGTGGACCTACTGCTACTCCAAAGGAGGCTGTTAGGGATTAAGACTGTGACTTTTATAGTCACCAATTGATGTTCCACGTGATCACAAGGAAGTCCTCCCCCAAAAAACTGGCTAAAAATGGGTTATAATGTATCTTGAATTACCTATAATGTACCTTGAAGAAATGATGTTGCTACCTATTTACCAAAGGTTGCAAAGAAGAAAAAAATCTGAGCAAATTATTTTATTACCATGAAAAGACAAAATTCCTGTCAAACCAGCACAGATCCAGGTGTCCACCATCCAGGATGATAGTGCACAGCAGCTGAAATGTATTCTGAAGTGTGAAATCAACTTCAGATTAAAGAAGATACTCTATAAGTATTTAATGTATAGTGAAATCTTCAAATATATCGAGGATTTTGTAGCTTATGCTTTAATAATTTGAAATAACAGAAACAACAACAACTGTAACAATATTAGAATAAATTATAATTAAATTTCGTAAATATGTCCCTCGGCTTTTTTAGCAAACATTCTAAAAAGACAGGCTTGATTATCAGCAGCTGCAGTAGAATAACACATCAGAAAAATCGTGTTAGGAGGAACTTCTTGCAGCATATTAGTGTAAGGTAATGTGCAAACAGTGAATACTTAGAAAATACAGTATATCATTTTTCACCAAAATTCAAACACTTTTGTAGCCTCAAAAACCAAACAGGCTTTATTTATTAGTAGAAGCTTCAAAGGGGTCTTATTTGGTCAAGTGACAGAGGCTGAGTAAACAAAGTGCTTTGTTTGTGAAAGCTGTTGAGGCAGACAGGTGAAGTCACTGAACAAACAGCACTGCCTGCAGTCTCAAAGGAATAAAGGCACCTCAAAGACTAATGTGTTTTCAATGTCTCCCAAGTGTATTTTTAGTCACTCTTCTTTTAATTGTGGAGGACTCCGTATTTTAGCAAAGATCAGCAATTAATTATCATAAATGACGGGCTTATCCACTTCTATAATGAAAGGCAGAAGAGTAATGTCTTCAGAAGGGAGTGTCTTTGAATCAACCTTTAAGTGGAGAAAATTTAAGTTAAAAAATATTTCCATCAAATAAAAATCGAATTTAAATTTGGCAAAAATCTCTGAAGCACAAGGCAGACTATGTGGTTTTGAACTGCAATAAAAAGATGACTGTGGCATCACCCATAAAAAAAGAAAATTAATTAATTGCTTAAACTTATATAGCACTTTTCTGGACACTCCCCTCCACCACCACCAATGTGCAGTATCCACCTGGATGATGCGACGGCAGCCATAGTGCGCCAGAAAACTCACCACAAATCAGCTATTAATGGGGAGGAGAGCAGAGTAATGAAGCCAATTCATAGATGGGGATTAGGAGTCCATGATTGGTAAGGGCCACTGGGAAATTTGGCCAGGATCCCAGGGTTACACCCCTACTGTTTTTGAGAAACATCCTGGGACTGTTAATGACCACAGAGAGTCAGGACCTTGGTTTTACATCTCATCCGAAGGAGGGTGCCTATTTCCAGTATAGTGTCCCCATCACTATTATTCTGGGGCATTATGACCCACACAGCAGCAGCAGTGTGCTTCCAGCAGCAACTGGGCCTGGTACTGACCAGGCTCACAACTGCTTAGTTTCAGTGGGCTGCCAGTTATGAGTTGCTGGGTGATATGGCTGCTGGCCATGAATTAGAGCCTTTAAGATGCATGGAAGTATTTAAAAGTGTTTCTGAAGATTCTTTCAACATAAATAAATAAATAAATAAATGTAAGATTTTCAGAAAGCTTAGATCTCAGATTAAATTCATCCCTAGGACTCTATAGGTGTCTGTTCTGAATTGCACCCAACCAAATAAAACCTGGAGAACACAGAACTGTGTTCACTGCACAGAAAAGAGGAAATTCTGTAACTCCTGGAAAGTACCAACAATTTGCACTAAGAATAACACCCCCCTTTTGTCATTTGTGAAGATAAACATAACACACAAAAGTATCCCTAGCTCTTGCTGAAATGAACAGTGAATCACACAGGCTGTACTTTCACGGTATTTCTTTCACCAGGAAATACTGCAATTAGCAAAGGCCAAGAACACTTTCGGGTTGAAACAGCTACACAAAGCTTAGATGAACAAATTAGAAAAGGTAGGACGGACTTTAGTTTTGACATGAATGGTAAGTTACTCCTTTGCCCTGAATAAGCACACTTCCAGCTCTATTACCTGCTGAATGTTGGATACAATACAAAATGAAGGCGTTTACATTTAGATTATTTAATGCAGCCAACCTAAGTACTCAAGGCGAGGGATAGCCAGTTTTGATTCAGGTGTCCTGTAGTCTGCAGTACTGTCATACTCGGATTCCTCCAATAAACTAACTCCTGTGTATTTAGTTATGGTTCTTTTAGCATTTTAATTTCAGCACCTACAATGCAAAATGTGAAAAAGACACTTATTTACCAAACACTTAAAAGCATTCATGAATTAATGTATTAATGAATACATTAATGAATATACATAAATTAATTCATGAATATATTAAGGTGCGGAATTAAGAAAATGCTATTGGTCAGAAAAAATAGAAAGCCTTTTCATTAAAGAAGAAACAAGTAAAGTATATAGGTGTTTGTTATTGCCACTACTATTATTCTCATTATTTAGGGGATGTGAGAATATGGAACAAGCTACCTTGCCATTAAGTTGCTGAAGATGATACTATGGTTTCTTTCGAGGAATGGTCAAAAGAGATCATCTCATCAATTAGCTAGTAACTACCAAATGGCATAGATGGTGGAATTGAAATGGTCTTTATGAACTAAGACTTGAATTTACTCAGTTTAATGTACAGGTATCATCCAGAGGACAGCACCACCCTCTCAAGTGTTCTCAGTCACGAAATTAAGTCTCTGGTTCGGAAATCCTCATTCGCGGAGAAGGGAACCACCTACTTTTTTGCCAAAACTCATTGCAGTAGCACTTAGATTTCCATGGAGGTCTGTCCAGCCCAGTCCTAACCAGGCCCAGCTTTGATCAGCTCCTGAGATCTGACAGGGTCAGGTTATAAGGTGGGAACACTGCTGCAGCAATTAATACTGCCAAATGAAAGAAAACACACGTCATAACACAGCAATTAGAAGAAACAATGGTTTTTAATTTTTTGTTTTTCAAGATGTTACACGACATTCAGAAGCCCATATTGCAGTCAACTCCTTTAATTAGCAATTTTTCTTAATTACACAGATACACTCAGCAAGTAATGGAATGAGAAAACAAAACGCCCAAGAGTAAATGTGTCTAAATATATCTGTCACAAATGTGGGAAATTACAAATATATATTTATATAGTTCTGTTAGTAAACATTAGGTAAATGTACACAAGTTGCTTATACACTGCCATAAGGAACACGAATCTGACAAAATGAAAAACGTTTCAGAAGTTTGTACACATCTGTACACTGTTTTGCTTCAAAAACAACAGAACAAACCCCACACATGAGCAGCACAGGCAAGGGATATTATCTTTCCTAAATACAAATAGTTTTGAACGCAATGCATTTTGGTTTACAATATTTAACAAAGTTTATCTTCATTAGTTTCAATGTGCATGAAGTGTGATATGGAAAACAGGAGAACGTTAAAGTCGAAAACTGATTGTTAATGTTATAATAGTAAATGCTGGTCTTTGTTTTTTTTTTGGTCCTTCCACTATCCAGGGTGTCCTTAAGGAAAGTGATTAAAAACAGTGGCAGTGCAAATTACCTGCTAGTTTTTCTAACAATGGAAGTGAAGGTACTTGTATAAAAAAGGCACACAGTTGCACATTAAGGCTAGTCCTTCTTCCATTCAAAAATTCCAAGAACTGTATTTTGTGTTTTTATCAGTACTTTCTCACAAAAAGAATAAGAATGAGATAACCAACAAAATACTCTTCTAACAAAGCATAGTAGTAGCTGCAAGTTGGACCCTCATCAGAGGAGACACGAACATGATAGTTGTGCTGTCTTTTGATATGAACTAAAGTCAGTTCATCTGCTGAAAAGTACAAACTCCACCGTACTATATTTGATAAAGATTTTTATAATACCTGTTGAATATTATCATCTGTTATCCATCATCATGTGGTAAGTTAAAAAAACACATTTGTCTTTATCAGCACCAAGTGATTTATCTAATTCCTGAAATAAAAATTTGAGTGCAAACTTCAGTCATCAGAAAACCAAAAATGGGATATGTGTCTCCTCAGCTGAGATTAAACTCACAAGATATAAAAATGGAAGTGCACAGAAAAAGGTTTGATTTCATAAATATTTTTTGTCTTAAAGTTTGAAATCCTACAAAAGAAGAAAAGGGAAAATCACCATATATTTATTATTCAGAATCAATGTTAATGCCTTTTTTGACTGTTCCTGGATGCTCCCTGGCATTGGGCATTGTACTACTCCCATGGAATTAATGCTCCTCTAGCCAGGATGGAGAGTCTGCACCAGGACTTTTCAACTTAATGTGGAACTGTTTGAGCGTCTGTTCAAGCTGTTGCTGGTTTCCTGCATAGTAGGCAGCTATAGCATTGTGGAAGAGGACAAGTTGGTTGTGTAATACCTTAACCTGGAGAGAGAGACAGAGAAAAGACAGAGAATCAAATCCACAGCAAATCCCAATATCCAAAAACACTATGACATTTCAGGGAGGCAAACTGTTTACCTAATATATATATAATTATGTATTTTCTACATATTCAGAGGGCAGAGCAGTGGATAGTATTCTGGTTTCACAGCACTGTGGCACTGGGTTCAATTCTGAACCTGGGGAGTATCTGCCCTGGAGTGAGTGTGTGCATGTCTGCGTGTGCCCCGCTATGGACTGGCGTCCCTTCCAGAATGTATCCCGCCTTTTGCCTGTCTCTTGCTGGAATAGGCTCCTTCTCCCCCGCAACCTTGTATTGGATAATGCCATTAGAAAACAGGTGAATGGATATCAAAATTTTAATTATTAGCGACTAAAACAGGCCTAAAGAAAATAAGAATCAAATGTGGCATGAGTACGTACTTGGCTCGTACACAATATACTAGACTTTTTTTGTGGAAACTTTAAACTGTATTGTCCCATACAAAACCTGACTACTTATTTCTTATCGGTTAACATTTTCATTTAAAACTTTGTCCATGCTTTTGCTGTTTTCGTGTTTGCATTAACAATAGCTATATTACAGATGAAAGAAGATCTGCTTCTTTTTTCTGGGTAAATCCTACAGTTAACCTCATCTGTCCGACGTGTCATTTCTTGTTCTCGTAGGAAGCTTAAACAAGAAGCACTAGACTCAATTCATACAGTGCACTCCTTATATTTTTTTCAAGTTTTTCTAAAGAGTTATAAAGACCCATTTAAATTTGAGCAGCAGTGTGCAGAACATTACTTGAATGAAGCTGCAGTCCTTTTCTACTTGATGAATAGACTCCTTTACATCTGTTATGGAAGTAGAAGCAACTAAAAAAACTCCCTTTTAACATCAGCTTTCTCCAGACTGGAAAATGTCAGTGTACGAATCACACATTTTCATTTGGTTATTACAGCACACTGTACCCCTGCTTTACCTTATTCTCCTCTAGGAATTTTAGTTTGACCGCAACATCATTGCGCATCTTTTCGTATTTCTCCCTGTGGATCTGGAACAGTTGCTGAGATTGCTCGATCTTTGGAACAGTAGTAGAATCCCGGGGGCCCAGGTTCAGCTCCTCTAAGTCTGTGCGATAGGCGTCATACTCAACCCTGTAAGAAAAATCAATTTTTACTTCAGCACAGAAGTTGTGACTTTTGATGTTTGAAACATATTTGCTGGGGTGTTTGTTGCAACTCAATAATACTTTGTCTGACTTCTCAGAAATGCGTCTAGCATCAAAGCAGCAAGTCATTTACAAAACATACACACATCACAAGTAAACGTTACATTAAAACCTAAATACAACATTACATAACACACAGCGAGCGATGCATATTTTTTTCAGACCACTCCTAAGGGAATCCACATTTGAAGATGTGCGTTATCAGCTGTTAGTGGATGGAGCACTTCATAACAGAACAGGAAATAAAGTACGGAAAAAGCTTACTGTCTGGAAATCCTTCACTTCAAGCAAAAGGTAATGAGGGTGCATACGTCTGTTTTACAGGTGCACAGCTATCAATGCTGGTTATATACGTTTGTATCTGGGAAGGCAGTGGAGTTTCAGAAAAGTTTAACAACATCTGCACTTCCTATCTTGTCTTGCTCGGGAGGTTTGGTACAATGGTACTTTGATAAACTGGATGCTGCCCTTGTTATCTGTTTTACAAAATTTCAAGGAAAGTACATCACCTCCATCTTCTTGATATTTACTTTTTTATGTTGCACAGAAGAGAAGTTAGGGAAGTTGAAAGACATAATTCAAGGTCTGAATTTTGTTTTTATTGCTGTGGCTCTATATAGCGTCAATATCCTAGCAATAGCTCTACAATGCAAAATGTGCACACTACTTTATTTATCATTCATTTAAATTGTTCTGAATCCAAATGAACAAATTAACAAAAAATATAAGCATCTAATAATAGAAGTAACCCACACAAAACATTGTAGAACAACTTCTTCAAACGATTTAAGATCTTGGCTTAACATTGAAAAGTAGATTGGCAGTAACCTGGGAATCACCTTTAAAAAGCTGGAGTAAAAGGCTTAGCAATAATCACTTCAGTCTGATTTGTAACATACAGCCATACACCCAAAAGTATTCTATCACAGGATACTCCCAGAATATTTGCAGGTAAGTACTGGCTGTATCCTGTGTGCACTGGTGACAGAGAGGGTCAAGCACAATTTTTATCTGCATCCATCAGCATGGTGTTGCATACATTCTAGACTGAAGTATAAAATGGATTAGCTGGTGTGTCAGGACTGCATCCCAGCTAGGACTATGATCCAACGGGTCCCATTCGCTTTCCAAAGAAAAGGGGTACCTGGGAAGGGCTTCATTTTAGATGTGAGAAAGTCATATAGAGAACAGCCTAAACGCCTTGTGGTGACCACTGAAACCATTAACTCAAGTCCCAGATGCACAAAACAGAATACCTCTGGGAGTGAGTAAGCCTCCTTAACATCCTTAAAATGTGCACCGGCCACTGTCATCAAAGACGTCATAAAAATAAAAAAGCATTGCTTGCAGACGATGGTTAAGTAAAAAGTCAAGAACCATTTAGTAGGAATTTTTTTTAACTTAGTGAAAGCTTATTAAATATCAGGGAGCCACTAAGTGGTTAGCCTTGGTCCCAATTTACAGTGAGTGCAATGATTAGGCCCCTTGAAAGGAAAACAGTTCAGCTCCTGGGGGTAGAAATTTAAACTGGCTTATTTAAAGCCTTCTATATTAGGTGGCATGAGGTGGCACCCTGGAATTTAGCAATGGCTGAAACACGCTCATCCAAAAAGCCCAACAGCAACATTTAAAACAGACATTTTACAATTAGTTCCCCAAACCTCTGGAGTACTGCAGGGTCATAAATTAGATTCTTTAGCCACTCTCCCCTCCAAATTATATTAATTATAATAGAATCCTCTGTAGTGAATGAGGACATTCTTATGAGCAATGTGCTCAGCACAAACTAGTAAATTTATAAATCCCTCCTGCCACTTTGTGGCAAGACAGAATTTAATATGAGATGCAGTGTAGCATCTCCAAAGGCATTCATAATGAGGGTCCTCACACATTCAACTAAGCACCAACAGAAGCAAATGCCACTGTGTCTGCTCAATTTGCTTTGGGAAACATTAGTCATGTAATCTATATCTGAAAACTTAACCCCCCTTTGCAAGAAATGAATAACAAAGCCAGTGCAGAAATGTATATTTGGAGCAAGAAAATGTTCTGCTTTTAATCCAGTTTCAATCCATGAATAAGTACTACACCCTAAATTTCAAATATGGAGGATTTATAGTTTTCTGTTGTAAACCTAAATTCTTTTCATTTTTTGTTCACATCTAAACTCAAATTAAGATTTTTTTCAAGTGCCATTAACATTTAATCCTACAGTTCTGTTTTATAGGAGCATAATATACCTCTAGCTGAATTTAATCACTGCATAATTCATAAAGCTCTTAATAAATACCGTTAGATTCATGAAAAGACATACATTTACAGGAATACAGGAATATTTAAAAAGATACATTTTATCCCCAGCTAAACTTGTCCGACCCTATATTGAAAACACTCAAGCACCTAAACCTGCAAAGGAAACAACAGGCATTTAATCACCTAAATGTTCAGAACACAGAACCCTTACATTCTTAATGTAAACTTGTTGTTAAAATCATGGGGACACAAGGATGGTTTCACTAAAACACCATTAAGAAATAATTTGAAAATACAGTAACATGTATTCACAATTCTACAGTATACATCAGAAGGCAATGCAACATGCATGCTTTAGTAGCATTTTACCGCATTTTTTTCTCATCATGTTCTCTTTTTTTTTTGAGACTATCATGCCAACAAATAAAAAGGGTTTCATTAACATGTTAGAACCAGGTATGTCATGAAATCGGTATCGGGATGATGCCACATGAACCAAACAATGTAATTGTTTCAGGTAATGAGGATGCACAGAATTCTGCAAAACAAGCTAAGAATTCAGGCTGTGCCATTTGATCAAGGTCATAAGATAAGACTAGAATTCAGATTGGGTAAGTTTTGGAGAGAAATTTGGCAAGAAGCCAAATCCAGAAAAGAGAAGGTCAGTAGCATTAATAAGAAGCAAAACACCATGAGGAACAAGCATGAACAGAATTATAATGAAGACACCGGCCTGAAGTGTTAAATACAAATGTAAGCGTTTTTAAAAATTGCAAATCAATTCACTCAGATATAAAATGTTTTTTTTCTTTTTCTTAGCATAGGGAGAATGCTTCTTAATTTTAACAACCTTACAATAAAATGCCAGATAGACTTGCATTCCCTCGCACAGCCATGTTTCAATTCAATACAAATTTAAACTATCACAGGATACTCCCAGAATATTTGCAGGTAATTTGCAATTTCAATTTCAAATTATCTTTGAAAACACTGAAGTTTTATATAGACTTTTTGTAGCCATCCACTGACAGTAATCATCTCGCATACCTGGCATTTTCGTATTGTTTTATGTTGATCAAGGTGTCTTCAATGGTTTTGTTTACCAAGGTGTTCACACTGGAAATGAAGAAGTTAATGGCCCCCAATAGTGTCTCTCCATTTTTGGACAATAGTTTTTGAGTGTCAGCGTTGAAACCAAATTCCTCCTGAAACACAAAGAATGAAAATGCATTCAACTTATGTTTTAGAGAATAGAAAAAGGGCTTACATTTAACCCAAAACAGACAAAAAAGACTAAATTGGTTTTAGTCTAAATTTTTCCAGCACAAAACTGAGGCAAATAGCAAATTAAAAAAGTAAGAACAGGAAAAAGGAACTGAAGACATCATTATGAACTAAATCAAAACTAGCCTAATTAATAAAGTGAGCCTATCAGCTCAGCTTGACATACCTGTACATTATTTGACAAATCCCAGGTCTACCTAGCAATATCTGATATTCAAATATCTGAATTTCAGTCCCTCTGCTGTCACATATGCAAACCTAAGTTTTAGATTACTTTTAATTATGCAGTAAAATGTAGTGCTTGAAAAAACAAATATTACATAACTTGCATAAGTGACATAAAATATCACCACACTCATTTTTAAGATGATTTTCTTAACAGCATTTACTTGAAAGGTTCAGGATTCAAGGCCTTCAATGAAACCATATAAACTTCAAAGGATGAATTAGAACCATGGGTGCTGTCAGGGATTCAAAAGATACCTGTTTAAAGTAAATAATTATCATAAAAAATACTTAAAATAATAAAACAGAAAATCTGAAGGAATTATGTACAGTAAGCTGCTGTAATACTTTTGTATCTTTAAAAAAGTTCACTTGTAATTAGTGATAAACATCACAAATTAAGAGGCTTTAAACTATAATAAAAATGCTCATGGCTGTACCTTTAGAAATACATTTTGACTGGGTGAATTGGTCATTCCAAGAAAACCAGGAATTGCTGTACACCCCAGGTACCCAAAACCTTAAAATGGACATTTCATGTTGTGGTCTGTTCTGAAACAGAACCCAGACTATTGGGAAGTGCTGCAGAATGTTTGGATAGAAGAACAGATATTACTGTATGTCCACAGCATTGGATATCGTGGATGAAAAGCTATAGGTAAATCACTCCTCAGGGCAGGTCATTTCAGTGGTGTTCTGAAATATGCAAGCAAAATACTAATTTTCTTAAGTGATTCTGGGTTTTTATCATTCTCACACAGCAGTCATGTACAGGAGAGAACATTCCACTATACAACCTTTATGTTATGGCAACATGGTATTTTGACTGCCAAATTGCAAAGAATGATTTTGGACACTGGGTGAGGGTGTGCACAAAGAAATGGGTGTAGGCAATTCTGGTTGTACATCCCGATAGTCATGTCAAAAGGGGGCAACATTTTTATTGAAGATAAAGGCCCAACTCACAGTACAAAGAAAAGGCAAAGTGTTAGGGCAACAAAGCTCTCACAAACACCATTTTATCCAATGGGGTTTTAGTTGCAAACCCCTGTGAAAGCATCTGACAAAACTGCCTAGCACGTTACGTGAGTGAAATAAGTTGCTTGCCCAACACAAGGTTATTAAGTGATATTTCAAATTTCAAAGTCTTTTTACTACAGTCAAGGGTATGTATATTTTTAAAAGGTATCATCCACTAAATTGGGTTTCTGAAAAGCAACTTTTTTTTTAAAGAGACAAAAAACACTTGCATGTCTGCTTACTTAAAAGATAGGAAGGTACATGTCTTGTCTTGTAGGCAATACAATGAAATCAGTTCTCATTCTTCACAGAAGCTGAATAGCTTTGCTTTGTCAACGTTTTGGGATTTGTTAGCAACATAATGTAAAAAATGTAATGTAAAATCTGATTGTTGAACAAGTCCCTGATGCATTTCAAAAGCTTCTTTTGTCACACCCCAGAAAGCCGTGAGGACAAAAACTGTAAGAAATTAAAAGTAAATGGTGGAGAATGTGTCTTTCACTAGACATGATTTCTATAATGATAAAGTTTACATGGGAGGCACGGTGGTGCAGTGATTAACATTGCTGCTTCACAGTGCTGGGGCCCAGGGTTCAATTTCCATACTAATATCTGTGTGGAGTTTGTGTGTTCTGCCCAGGTTTGCATGGGTTTCCTCCAGGTGCTCTGGCTCTGACTTCTGGGAAAACTGGCCCTGGTGTCAGTGTGTGTGCCCTGTGAAGGTATACCCTGGTATGCGCCTGTTGCTTGCCGGGATTCACTCCGGCCTCCCCGTGACCCTGTATTGGATAAAGCAGTTAGAAAATGGGTGGAAGGGTAAAGTTTACACATCTTGAGTGATGCCCTACCCCCCAGAGACATTCAAGACTAAGGATACACAAACTGAAACAAGACTTCAAACAGAGAAAATTGCTTCTCTCTGTCAAAATTCAAAGGAGAAACAGTTGGAATACTGAAGAAGTAGGAAGAAATGTGCCCTGCCAAGTTTAGCCATGCTTAATTTACTTACAGGTCTTGAAAAAAATAAAAAAGAATGTTCAAAGGAGGCTCTGGACAATCTTAACAATTTTTGCCCTTCAACTTACCCTTTCTTGCAAAAAGTCTAGAATGTGCTGTCACATTTCAGTTACATAACCACCACACTGTAAATAACCTTTTTGGACCCCTCCAATCTGGCTTCCGTCAACTTCATAGCACAGAAACTGCCCTGGTCAAAGTTACTAATGATCTTCTAATAGCTTCAGATTCTGGATCTCTTTCTATCCTCATTCTTCCTGATCTCAGTTCTACTTTCAACACTGTTAATCATGACATCTTACTTTCTTGTGTTGAGTGTTTGGAGTTTCAGACATTGCTCTCAAATGGTTCAAGTCTTACCTCACTGATCGCTGTCACTTTGTCTCTTTTGGCGGATTTAGGTTTGGTGTTCCTCAGAGCTTGATACTGCATCCCCTACTTTTCAGCATTTACATGTTTCCACTTAGTCAGCTCTTGAGATCACATGGCCTCAAATATAATCTCTATGCCGATGATACTCAAATATACATCCATACCAAACCTGACACTGATGTGTCTGTCTCTATTCTATATTATTGCATCTCTGACATAAAAACTTAGATGAATCAAAATTTCCTTCATCTTAACTGTGACAAGACTGAAGTTATATTTATTGGCACTCCCAACCAACTTTGTAAAGTCAATCCTGTAACCTTATCTGTAGATGGTTCTGTACTTGAGCTTCAGTCTAAATCGAAAAACCTTGGGGTTATTTTCAATTCTGGCTTTACATTCAACTTTAATGTGCAGCGTTTTGTTAAAACATCTTTCTTTCACCTCAGAAATATTGCTAGACTACGGCCCTATGTTATCACTAACTGTGGCTGAAAAGCTGATCAACACATTTGTCTTCTCCCAAATTGACGAGTGTAATGCTCTACTCGCTGGGGTATCTAAATCCACACTGAACAAACTCCAATATGTCCAAAATTCAGCAGCCAGAATCCTGACCAGTTCTAGAAAAAGTGATCACATTACTCCTATCCTGGAGTTCTTGCACGGGCTTCCTGTCAAGTTTCGTATCGACTTCAAAATCCTCATGCTCACCTATAAGGCTCTGCATGGCTTTGCACCTCGGTACCTGTCTGAGCTATTATCACCTTACTCCCCATCTTGCAACCTTCTCTCCTCTAATTCTGCTCTCCTTACTTTCCCCCAAGCCCATCTACACTCTATGGGTGACAGGGCCCTCTCCTGTTATGCCCTAAGCTCTGGAACTCTCTCCCCAAGGATATCAGAGTCACCTTCTCTAAACTCCTTTAAATCCAGACTCAAAACCTTCATCTTCAGAAGAGCCTTTACTTAACTGGTTCCATTCTTTACCCCACTACTCCTACTGTATTTAGTACCACCATCTACTGTCTCCTCTGTGTATTCTCATCATGTTTATCTTGTGTATTTTTTTAATTTTTAATTGTTGTTGCTGTTGTCATTCTGTAAAGCAATTTGAGAAGCCACCTTTAAAGGCACTATAGAAAATAAAGTTCATATTATATATTATTCAAGTTTAAAACATGTATATTTCATAATGAGCTAAGAAGTGCCATCATTTATGTTTCAGCAGGAAAGTAATGTGAAGCTTCCAATTTTATTCCACAGCAGGCACAGAAGATATGCTTCACATGTCCTCATACAAAAGCAACAATATAATAAAGTTACATAATCAAACAAATGAACCAAGCAAAGAACATCCTTATTTAGCCCATTTATATTGTCTGCTTGCCAGAAACAAGAAAAAACAGGTTGTATTGAACACTTCTTAAAATGAAGAGCTCACAGCATGCTGCAACCTGATTAAATCTTGTGATTTTCAGTCTGTTGGCAGAAAATAAATTATATTGGTCTGTGCAGCTTAAATCTAAATAGATAAGTTTCTCAACACTCTAAAATTTGAGTCTCTGATAAAATAACCAAAATAAAATTAATATAATTTTTTTGTATTGAAATAAATATTTTTAAAAAGTCGAGATAAAAGGTTTTTTTTGCAGTGCCATGCCATCATGCCATTAACTCAAACAAAACAGAATAGTAGGCTGATGAAAACAGTGTACACATTATTTGCAAACTATTTAAATACTATTAAAATTAATTCATATGATAGATAGCCAAAAGCAACATTTCGCTTAATAATTACTATTTCATTTTTTGTGGATAACTTATTCTGGACAAGAAAAATATATTTTTGAAATATATGGTTCTAAACATGATACCTTTCCTTTTCTTTAACATCAAAATAAATAACTACATATTTAAATTGACAGTTTTTCCATAGGTCTTACTATATTGACAAATTCTTAATAACATATTGGTAGAAACTGGTCTCAAACCTTACAGATGACATATCAACAATAAAGAATCATTAAAAGTGTCTTAAAACAACTAAAAGTCTAGATTTCTTTTTAAGTATACATGGCATCTTGATCCCTAAAAAACACACATGGGAACAGAACTCCAGTAACATTGCACTGATGCAAACATACTGTACAACTACAACAGACTAGATTCCAGGAAATGAAAACGCCACTGCACTTAAATAAAGAGAAATCTGACTGGAATGACACTTTACCTGGATGAAAGGTGTTAAGCTCACTTCTCAAGTTTCCAATATTTTTCTAGTCACAGAAGGCAAAGCAAATTCCCTGTCTTTTACTATCAGGCAGAAAACAGTAACACAAAGCCTGTCATTTTACCTACATATGTTGTATACTTTTCTCCTACCCCAACACAAATTCCCATCAGCATGATGAAACAGACAAAGACAAGACAGGTAGTAGCTGTTGGTAGCTGTCACTAAAATACACAACATCTTGCCTCAGGAAAGAACATATGAAGTTATCCTCAGTAAAATAACTGAAAATGGTCCCAATATAGGCCGTTCTGTCCTGCATCTCGACTTTGTGTCTCTGATGTTTCATCAATATCTGAGCAGTATTTAAAGGTGCAGAGTATTCAGTGCCACATCTATGCCTCTACCCACTGGAGAAAAAATTGCTAGTGTGAGAGAGGTGCCTTTTATGTGGGACTCTCAATCTGCTGTAAGTCAGAGAGGGAAACACTACGTGTTGGTTGCACTATTGCTTTATCTTTACTTTTCCTCAAATTAAGCTTCAAAATTTTCTTAACTAAATCATGAAATGCTATGTTGCAAACTATTTCCTTTGAGACTCACCTTATGCTGTAAAAACATACATCAGTTCATAAAGATTTCAATCAATTAGTCTTTCAAATAACGTGAAGGCAACCAGTTGCATAACTTCAGATGAAAGCCATAAAACCTCTGTATTAAATCTTAGAAATAGTATAATAGCAGCAATAATGATGAGTTACCTGAGAGTTTTTAAAAATATTTTTTTCAAAAACTGTAATAAATACCAAACTTTAGTCTTCATGGCTACTTGTACAATACCATTCATGCTATCATGAATCTTTGGAAGCCCCAGGGATTGTTACGACCATGAAAATGAACTAAAATATAAATCATTTTATATTTTTTTAATTCATATCAAACGGGTGTTTGCAAAGCTGTTGTGGGGATGTACACTTACGTGGAGCTCTGGAGATTTTAAGCTGAGGTCTGCGAAAGCATCTCCCAGTTGCCTCTGAGTCTGCACTATTTGGAAGAGCTGTGTTGCCAGCGTCTGCGCCAGCTTTATGACCTGCTCATACTTCCTCTTGTTATCCCGGAGAATTTCTATCTGAGCCTCTAGTTCCAAGTCCACAGTCTTAGACCCTCGGCCCAGCTTCTCCGACAGGATCTGCCTCGTACACTGCAACAAGCACAAAGGTGAAAAGATAACTGATGACCTACTAGGACAGAAAAGAACAACCCCAGTGCTTGAGGGCATCAGAGAGTCATCTGATTTTCATTGCAGCTCTTAAATGTTTAATTAAATTAATTAAATAATTTAAAAGTGCAAAAACATTTCCAAATGTTTTTCAGGTCTGTAATTGGTTGTCATAATTGAAAAATACTGGTAAATCTTGGAATATTCTGTCTCTGGAAGACTGGAACCACCCATTCCTATAACAGAGGAAGTATCATTAGGTAGGCCGCTGACATTCTCGGAGGACCACAAAATTGAACATTGTTTTTGAAGTCAACATTTTCTATAACAAAAACTCATTTTACCTCATTGAAAATAATCTGTATTATATTACTTATTAGTAATAAGCTGGTAATATGTTTCGCCTAAATATATTTATTTTAAAACAATCATTACAGACTCTTAAACGTGACTGCACAGGTTTCAGTCACTGGGTCACAATACCCACAGGAAGACAAGACAATTCAAAATCTGTGGTCTCAGGGCAAGGAAAGATAATGGATAAGAGAACAACAACATTAATAGCAAATTGACAATGAATTACACTTTGCCAGTATAAAGAGAGAATAATTATATATCTTTGACCTTGTGTATGGCAAACTGATGAATGACTACTGTGCAACAGAAAATGTTAATTTACTAATAAAGAATATAATGCTTATAAAAACATCACATATTTCAATTTTTTTGAAACACAGCAGAGGGTCAGCACTTACCACAATTGACTGCGGTTTCCTTAGTTTCCTCAATTGTGAGATGTGCATGTTTTTTGCCAAGCAATCATTTACGATCATTAAAAAGTTGATCAACACAATTAAACGATTTTACAAGACACACAAACCATACTTGTGTTAAAGATATCAAAAGGCATTTATTTTTCTCAAATCTGTAAAAGCAACCTTAATAGCAAAAGAACAAAGCACACAAGAGTCGTAAACAGTTCTTTTCACTGAAGCTATCAAATAAGCAGACTTTCTGCTGTAATAGTCAGCTTTAAAAACACTAAAATATACATCACTGACAATACTTTAGAAGGTAATGGGAGGGAATAATAAACAAATCTAGTTATGTAGTTTGTGATTAGCTGTAATTTACCTACATACCACCCCAGAGTTTTAGACTGTTACAGCCATCAGCCTGACCAAGGAGAGATGGGGAAAGTGAGGACACGCTACTGAACCGAGCCCTAATCCACGCCTGCTCTCCCTGTGAACACCGCTGTGCTCAAGGCGGTGTGAGGTGATTGCAAAGGACTACCAAGAAAAGCTGGCATAAATAAGGGTTTGAAACAATGCAAATCCCAGATGATGTTGTCACCATTTATTTGACATTTTAATATACACAGAGAATCGGGAATGAACAGAACATTAATAATAATTCAGTTGTTTTCTAGTACACGAAGTGAGCGTGTGCTGCCTGACACAGCTTTGCTCTGTACCCTTTAGTACCAGGGTGCTGTAGTTGATACATTTGCACTCTGCAAATCCAAATATACACTGTTCAGGCACAAGCAATTCAATTTTCTAGCCATCCCATTTAATTTCTGTAAGTGCTCCTAATGCAACGTGCCACAAAGAACAGCAGGCTTGGCACTCGAACATTTTCACAGATGGAGGGTCTACCTACTTTGTAAGTGTTGATGCTCCATTTTCGCACCAGATCCAGCTTCTCAATGGCAGGATTCTTGACCTCATCGGAGACAACTACGGGTCCACTTTTAGGCTGCACTTTCATCATGCCTGGAGAGGACAGTTGAACTCATTCATTACTAAAGGAATGATACAAGATTGCCTTGGCCTTCCTTTATATAAACTCAACCATTATTAATCAAATTACTGCAAACTGGAAATTCCCAACAAACCCATGGGCCACATTACATTGGCTTGTGGTTCTAAATTATGTGTTTAATGTGTACTAACTTCCTTGGCCATTTCATAAATACAGGTAACATAAAAACTTTTAATTGCTGCTCCTCCCATCTTTCCCATGATTGATGAGGTAGTGCTGTCACATTAAATTGCTTCTTTTCCACAGAATGTTTAAAACAGTCACAGAGTAATTTCAAGCATCAATAGGGGTGGTTGCTGGAATTCCTAAAAAAACAAGATTTAACATACACAATCGTAGCAATGTAAGCAAAGGAGACACTAAGTCAGAGTGAGTGACATGGCCAGGCCTTGTATCTGCTCTTTGGGATGGAGGATTGACTGCTCTCTCTTTAGATTGGAGATTCTTCCCAGATAAAGAATCCAGGCACACAGGATTCCATACAAGGCCTTTAACACCTATGAGCTTTAATACCTGCATCCCTGAACAGATTTAAGCACGGAGACTAGACTAGAACTGCATGATGACAATTATTGAGTTATTTCAGGGTTTTTCTGGGAGCAGGTTAGCATGACTAACCTGATACAGCTCCTGTTAACGATATAGATAAAAATGAAAAACTGAAGAACAGATACAAGAATGAACTCTCTGTGGGAATGATTTAAAACAAAACCACTTTTGTATTTGGCCTATTTCTATACTGTTTTTTAATTAAAATAATTTTGACATGGTTTTATAAGTTGAATTACCAGAAAACTAACAAATGAACAAAATTCACAGTAAATCACTGTACATTCCTTGTATTAAATGAATAAGAATAATGGCACAACAGTTTCAGGCAGCTGTATTCTAAACTTTGAAGTCGGAGCAGTCTGATAGCTGCTAGTTCTGTTTTCCTTTTACTAGGAATGCTGATAAGGGTGTCCTCCCTGATAATGAAACAGGCAATACTTGCACAATGCATATGATAATGTTTTATGATATTGTGCTTTTCACCTAATCATGGAACAGGTATTACAGTACAATCTTATGTATTGTCTTTATACTGGGAATGCTGTTCTCTGAATGAGAAAACATGCCAAAACCCGTTATATGAAAACAATTACTGTCAATGTTTGACAAATATCGACATAGGAAAAAGAACAGTTTTCCAGCCCTTCCGGCAGCATATTTCTGGCAGGAAACAGCTCTTCAAAGTGAAAAGAAGGATCAATGTTCTGCTCAAGTTTGAGTCTATATTTTATTAAAATAAATTCCAAACAATATTAGGTATTTAAGGTTTAAAGGTAAAGGTTTAAAAAAATGAATTTGTGTAAGTACTCTAAGCTCATTTATCAGGCAATACACCTTCAATACCCCTTTAAAATGTCCCCCGTTTTAAACCTTGTTAATACAATAAATACTGCATACATACAAGTATTTCTTCAGGGGCACAAACATATGAGCAACCCAAGCATCATGGTGAGGAGAACTTAATATTTTCTTGTGCTCCGGCCCTCTGTATATATTAGCATTTCCTAATACATTGTTTTTTTTATGCCTTGAAAAACAAGCTGTCAAATATTTAAAAAATAAAGTTATGAACCAAAACCAAATGAAAACAAAAAAGAACAGACAATAGTCCAAAACCCAAGCCAAATCCTATGCAAAAGGACCAAAATCACTGGTTAGCAAAAAGGAAAGCTTTAATCATACCAGAGCATGAAATAAAGGAAAATCCCCTGAAACACTATGAAACACCTATTAGCAGCAGGGAAAAACACCCAAAGAGCAGAAGGTAAGCAAAACATTTGCACATAAATCTCATGTGTGAAAGCTACAGCAGTGTCTGCTTTTGCATGACCTGTAAGTATAAAGCTATAACAGGACAGGGGGTTTAGAAAGAATTATGGAGACAGCTGAAATGAAACTTCCTTTTAACCTTGGGTTAAGGAAAAAAAAGCATCTCAAAGTATTGTAAACATACAGTAGCCATCTACTTGTCCGATTTTCAAGGATTTACTTGCAGGGCCAGTCAGAAAGATGATGAGATGGAAGAAAAAAGTGGTATTATTGGAAATCTGGAACAAACTGGTAGTAGGTGATCGCTTTAGCAGAATGCACAGTCCCACAAAGGATGCCAATTTTAAGGAATATTTTAGTACAGATATAGCAAGAGAAAGTTCTCGGATCACCCAGCCAGTGCATGGAGTACCTTTCTCACTAGGAATATCGGAGGCTGATCTGGCCAGTCTGCTAGCCACAATACTGCTGGGAGAGACAACAGGTGACTGGGGCTGACTTGTAGATCCTGGAAACAGTGAATATTGGATAATTAGAAAGCACTGGTTAGCCCTGCAAAAATGAATGTCCCAAAAACGCAATCTGCATTGCTGCTGCTACTTCAAGTTCAAGTTTGTCATTCCAGCCATATAGAAGTATACAGTGGAACAAAATATCGTTCCTCCTGGTCCACGGAGCAAATAAAGACAGGACAGACAGGACACTGACATAGACAGTGTAGACAGGATACATGTAGTGCAAAGTGCAGATCACAAGACAATACATAATACAATATACACAAAACACTGGGGGGACTTAAACCCTGTTTCTGGAATTGGGGTGGGTGCAAGTAGATTCCAGGGTGTTGAGGAGCCCTACAGCCTGTGGGAAGAAGCTGTTCCAGAGTCTGGTGGAGCTAGCCCGTACACTGTGATATCTTTTTCCAGATGGTAGGAGGGCAAAGAGTTTATGGGAGGGGTGGGAGGGGTCATCTACTATTCTGGAGGCCCTGTGTAAGCAGCGTTTGTGATAGGTGACAGGAATGGAAGGGAGGGAGGCTCCAATGATCTTTTCAGCTGTTTCCACAATTCGTTGAAGGGTCTTGCGGTCTGAAGCGTTGCAATTCCCAAACCCAACAGTGATCCAGCTGGTCAAGGTGCTCTCAATGGTGCTTCTGTAGAGAGTGGTAAGAATGGGCAGGGGAAGGTTTACCCTCCTCAGTTGCCGCGGGAAATAGAGACACTGCTGTGCTTTCTTGGCTAGGGAGGTGGTATTGAGGGACCAAGTGGGGTCATCTGTAACGTGTGCACCAAGAAACGTGGTGCTTCTAACTGTCTCCACAGGGAAGCAGTTGATGTACAGTGTGGAGAAAGAAGACAATTCAGGTCAGCTCCTCAGAAAAATAAGGTAGGTAGTTAGAAAACATGGCTCTTTAAAGGTGTAGTGCAGAAACCGATACCCAACCTGAGGTCCTGGCACAGATCCAAAGAGTTGCGTAGAATGGACGCTCCAGTTTCACTTAATAGAACTCTTTAGGAATCGGTTTACTGGCATTTGATATTTTTGTTCCAGAAAAGTGACACGTTTCTTAATGGTAAACAAAAAATTAGAAATACTGGTTGTTAGGCTTTTGCTTTTTTTCTATCTAAAAATCTGATGTTTTCAGGTCTCAAAACAGAGGCTCCCCTGGAGTTAAAGCACGCCTGTTGTGCTGGAGGTAAAACACACAGGTGGCTTTGCTACATGTATTTAAAGATGATCAATACTACTAAATAGATCCATGGGATTTGGATTGAAGACAATTTCAATCCTTGTTTCACATTCTGAAACACAAAACCTTATAAAAACAATCTATAATTATATTCACCTTTATCCTTTTTCTTTCTATAGTATTACTGTCTTGCAACCAAACCATGAAAGTGACTCAGTTCTTCAAAGCAATAATCATTGGATACATCCTCTCCTAATCAAGGAAATGCAATCCCTTCTGCACTGACAGTGACTTACATATTTAATATAATGATACTCATCCGCTCAGTGTCAGATTAATTTCATCCTCATTTAGTCTATAGACATAACATAATGGAGTTAAATGTTTTCATGTTTTAATTGGTTCTGAATAATCTTTTTATATAGTTATACAAGAGCCAGGACACAGAGCAACAATCTATATGAGCATGACTGCTCTTCTTATTTTAAATCAATGATATGGATTCTGGTATCATTAATAACATGTCCAGTTTTTTATGAGAAACCAAATAGTAGAATTACTGAAAATAGTGGAAGCTTTATAGAAAAATTCTAAAATAGTTAAATGAAAAACATCTGGAAAATAACAATGAAAAGCATAGAATGAAACACAGATGTAACATGAAATAGAATGAAAAACTAAATACAAACTAAATACACTGAGCTAAGATGGTACTATATCTATGGTACTATGAATAAGTACCATATACATACGGTACTGTGGTACTATATTGAAAAATCCCAGCTGTTTATGTGGAAACTCATTGCATCTAGACAATGTAACAACAGAAAAAGCAAAGAGAATGGTAAGAAATCTAGTAAAAGTGTAGGATCTATATAAAGTATTACATGGTAGAATTGTACAGTGAACTAGCAAAATCTCATTTAGAATATGAACACTTTTGGGCAACACCGAACAATAAAATGTTGGAATCGGGTTTTTGCGTGCAGATAAAAGGCCATTGATAAAAAAGACTAAGACCATTTAGACCTTCGAGACAATGCGGGAAAGCAACAAAAAAAACCAAAGTGTGAGTGCAACCTATATAATCAGAAATGTAGACTTCCAATAAAACACTGCTATGCTAAAATTACATAATTACATAAGTAGTAAGGTCTTATTTAGAATATTGTCCAGAGAAGAACAACAGATACATTCCTGGATTTAAAGGAATGTCTTGCTCTGACAGGTTAAAACAGGGCTGCCAGTGCTGGCTGTGGAAGGCTGGTGTCTCTGTCGATTTTCAATCCAGCTCACATCATAATGACATGAAGCAGCCAGTTACTGGCGTAACTGAGCCATCCTTCCATTTTCTAACCGCTTTATCCAATACAGGGTCACTGAGAACACCGAAGCCAAACCAAGCAAGCATGGGCCAAACATGTGGAGAACATCCAAACTCCAAGAACTGAACCTAGGGCCACAGTTCTGCAAGGAATGCAGCAATGCAAACCACTGCACAACCGCGCAACCCTGAACTGAAGCAATCGTCAAAACTAACAGCCTGCATTTATTACAAGAAAATGGCTGAATGTGATCCCCGGAACGATGAATACAAGCAATAAAACAAGCTAGATCCTCTTTTCCATAACTGATCTAAGTATAACTAAGTTTTTGGGAAGGTATTGTTCTGGGAAACTGACATACTGACATAATCGCAATAAATGCAATTACACTGAATTCTATGAATTAGTACGAGATGAACATCTCTAGTCAGGTACCCTTGGGACCTGACCTGTGCTGAAACAGAAAATATGCCAAATAACAGCAAATCAATCTTAGCGAGTGGTTATCTTTTTATTCTTCACTTACGGGCTCTCTTCATAATAACATGCTAGTGTTGCTTCACAACTTGACTCTATTGGCACAAGGCAATAAAAGGATTTTTACTTGTGCCATCATTATCTTCCCTTAAATGCTAACATACCCATTCTCACTAAGCATGAATTAGTGTCTAAGAGGTCGAAATTGCCCATTGCACATACCAATGTGCCCTTTTCCAGGTTCTGCAAAGACTCCACCACATTCCAGTTAGCAATATTACCACATGCTTAGGCTTGACATATTGAAGACATATGGGGGTAAATATGAGTTGAATAATGGCACAGATCTTGAGAGCAAGGACAAGTGGCTATCAAGAAACCTTTCGGTACCATAGGAAACATGGTCTCAGCCATGATAAACTGACATCTAGCAAACTAAAATCTTGTCGGACCGGAGAGCCTTGGAATGTTCTTAAGATCTGATTATTTAAACAACAAGAATACTGCTGCTAGCTAACTGAACATTTATATGTGGCTTTTAAAAAAATTCTTAATAGATGTCTTCAAAGGCCAACATACTGTAACCTAAAATAATTTTTACAAATGGGAATTGTATATAATTGTTCTTCCATTACGATAAGTCAGTAATTCCCAAGATACTATCATGTCTAACCAACCAACTATAAAGTTGTATTGAGCCACACTAAAACAACAACTTTTAATCTTAAAGATGTCAGAATTACAAATACAGTTCAAGTAACTTTTATATAAGATATTCCGTTTCTTTTTATCCATGACACCTTGACTCTTTATTTGGAGTATATCTGCAGAAATGGCTGAGATTTCCCTGAAGATTTGTTTAAAAAAGTATAACTGGAGTATAATTGCCAAAACTACGCTTATGTTATAGTAATTTTAAACAAAACTCCATTTGTAATTTTACTACAAAAACTGAGAGTACCTCTCCAACAAATCCTCAGAATGATTATAACATATGTTGCTTTTCACAGGACCAACTAAAAGAGAAACAAACTGTAAGCTATTTGTAGACAGGCTGCACCTGGTGTGCTTATGTGCTTTAAAGAGGGCTTATGCAGCTGTTACCAAGAGTAAACTGAGCCAATTTATTCATGTGAGATGAGCAAGTGTTAATGAAAGGAATAAGCAATAAATGAAAATTAGCAGTCATTTGTGTGCCTCCTTTTCAAATTCAAACATCACCTCTTGATACCTCTAGTAAAGGACAGCTCTTTAGAGAATATACAAAAACCAATGGCTTTGCTTTCAGAAGTGCCCGCACATTACAGAAGCATTGTAGTGTGTGGAACATATGATTCTGTGGTATTTGCATACCACTGAATTAAGATATTTCAATTACAAATGAAGGCAACCCCAAAACCAGATTCCTCTGATCTAATACCGTAGGTCTCTCAATATTATGTTTCACCATAAAAAGTAGTAAGCTAATAAGAAATATCACTACATATACAGTACAGCCACTTTCATCCCAAGGGACACAACAGCACCACAAACAGGAGGGGACCCATTTCATCCACCAAAGAAATGCAGCACACACCTGGGTGACATGTGGCAGCTATTATATGTTTAAATATGTAATTAATTGGCTTTTCATATATGAAACTTCATATATAACCTATTATAACCAATTTCAAACAAATGGTATTTTCCTTTAAGACGTGGAGCCGACTACTTGTATATTGTTTTCTTTTCTTATCATCACCACTGCAGTTTGGGGGTGTGCATTCTTATCTTTTCTTTTAGGCAGCCTTGATCACCAGCAGCCCCACTACACAGAGGATCAAGCGGGGAAGTCAGGAACTGCTTTACCACCTGAATTAAGGGGGAATTTCAGAAAGCCTAGTATGTATAATTTACCCAGGACAACCACCAACTTTAATGACCAGTCAGGACTTTTTTAAAGGACTTACTGGTCCTTTAAAACTTACTGATGCGCTGGTTTTGAAATTCTGGTCAGACAGAAAGGAAGAGTACTACTTAGTGGTCCATCAACACCTCTTGTAGTGGCAGCTCTTTGTTTTCCTTGGAAGTCTCCCATTTATTCCAACATTGACCAGGCCCAGCCTTGCTTAGATTATGAGACGTGGTTAAAAAGGTAGTAATCCAGCTGCCAAGGAATAAGACCGACACTACAGGCTGCATTTATACGTAATCTCACACAGATATCTAAAACTCAAATATAACAGCAAAATATACAGGACTTACTATGGAGGTATAGATTACAATAATAGACTTACTGCAACTGAAATATCATTTCTGTACAATGCATAAAGTAGCACCAAACTGCTATGCAATACACAAATTGTTAAGGCCTGCAAAACAAAATACCTTTATATGGTCCTGATTCTATGATTCCCTCTGTTGTCGCTCCATAGTTACTGGAAGTGATGTGCGTTTCTGACAAATTCAAGCCTCCAGGCATGCTGTGAGTCAAATCCTACAAAAAAAAATCAAATATGTTAGATATATTGTATAAAGAGCTACTATTACAAACTCTATATTGTCTAATTCTTGGCATTTTATCAAGCATCACTATGAGAACTACATATGACTTTCTTTAATCTCATTAATCACATCCGATTTTGAGGTCAGATTTTGCAATTATATTTTACAAATAAATATAAGTATAACTAAGCTGTTACATGTTGCTCTCCACTCACCAACCTTTACTGTGGATATCAGTTTAATATACAGATACCACTGAGATTTGATGTAAATATCAAAGAATAGTCTTTTTATTTGTCTTTTATCTTCCCATTTTAGAGGACAGTGATGTTAAACATGAAATGTAAGCAAGGTACACACTTGACTGAGCCTACAGTTAGGATCTGATCTGAATTAAAGTTAGCCAGATAGAAATGTTAGTCTCGGACTCACAGTGGTTAAATGTCAAAAGGAGAAGAGTTTTATGAATTAAACATCTGTTGTAGGGCAGCATGCTGGTGCAGTGGTTAGCACTGGTCCCTCAGCGATAGGCCCCAGGGTTCAATTCTAGATCTAGGTTGCTATCTGCATGGATTTTGTTTCCTCCAGATGCACCAGTTTATTCCCACAGTATAAAAACATACTGGTAGGTTAATTGGCTCCTTGGAAAATTAGCTCTGGTGTGTGTGTGTGTGTGTGTGTGTGTGTGTGTGTGTGTGTCCTGCAATGGACTGGTGTCCTGTCCAGGGAGTACATACTGCATATAGTATCTCATAATAAATATAATACACTTGTCTAAATTATGTAATTACAAGGTGCTTGCCCAGTTCAGAATTCTGAAACATTTTGAGTTACCTTGGCTGCTAATTCTGCACTAATCCTCCTATTTTGTTATTGGTTGCTTACATAACTAGTTAACTCATTACAGAATTTGATCATCAATGTAAATTAGGAAAGGCTATGATCCAAATGTAAATACTTCTAATAATTCACTACATCACCCCAATTAGAACATTACAACAGTACTCTCTTGTTCATTCATTCTTACTGTGAATACCAGCATGTTCCAAGACTGATATCAAGTTAAGCAAGACCTACATATTTTAGAAGCTTGTTTGTATTAACTAGCATCATATTTCCATAGATGACCGACAGGTTTAGTTCTAATTATTGTTTTCATAACCAAATAATAGATGTAAGATTTATTTGTCTAAAATTACTTCTCAGCTTATCTCTCCTTTTATGTATGGACACTACATCAGCATTTTTCTAGTCCTTGGGTATTATCCCTCCCACAATTATGTACTGGATAAAGCAGTAAGAAAATGAATGGATGGGTTCTGTCCCTGTCTTGAGCAACTGAGCAACTGTTTGAAGTGTTATATTAATGACCTATGAATAGGGTTGTTTGTTTCCTTAAGTAAACTGGTAAAACACCACAAGGCCCTGGTAATATGATGATATTAAGTACTTCTAGTATCCATAACACGTCTGTTTCTTCTGTTCGATTTAATATAGAACTTTATCCTCCTATACTGTTAATTTTTGCCTTGGCGTTGTCTGCAAAATCAGAAATATCATACTTTTCTCACAATAACACTGCAATTCACAAATAATAAAATAAGGAAATAAATACTACATAGGTTTAAAATTCAGGAATATCAATGGTACCCTAGAGGGGTAGGTCAATTGCTTAGAAGAGATGTTGCTTGTCTTTCATACTATATGAAGTTCGCTAAAGCATGTATGTACGACACATGAAATAAAGAGCTTATGATAACAATTTTCACAATGATGAATGCAATTGTTAAAACAATAAGTCAAAAGATCAAGAAAGTATATATACAGTATAGTATACATATATATCCCTCATATAATAAGTGTGTTTTTGGTATGAAAAAAGGGCATGCATGATTTACGAACATTCCACAATAATGGACACCCCTTCCCCCCGATTAAACCAAGGATTTACTGTAGATTATCTTTTTAAAAAGGGAAACTTTTTTATGGAAACAAGATCAACAAAACCACTGAGCTGTTGCTGTTGTAGTGAACAGCACATACAGTATATTCTTCCATTTTCATCAGGCAATTAACCTCACAATTCAGAAAAGTTAAGGAATTACACCAGTCTTCAGGTGTAATTAATACAGACGATGAATTATTAATCACAAACCTTCACAGAAAACAGACACTGTAACTAAATTCTTTAACTGTAGTTTTCAAACTGCATTAATGAAACAGAAAAGGCAAAAATTTGCTCTCAGAGAACATAATACTGTATTTCTAGCAAGAAATTATACCCTTTCTGCCATATAATTGTTATTATTTGTGATTCAAATAATCCAGAAATAATACCAAATCATATTAATGCTTCATATCAAGCTTAAAATGTACAAAACAGCAGTTAAGCAACTTAACAAGAAATGAGGCCAAAATGTAATATTTAATAACACAAACATGAAAAGGTTACTAATAGGAGGCCATTCTGCCTATCTAGCTTGTTTGGTTAGTAGTAGCTTATTGATCTGAGGATCTTATCCGGTCTTTCTTGAAAGAAACCAGGGCATCAGCATCAGCAGCATGGAAAGACAAAGTTAAATGATAAAAATTAAATGAGCATAGAATCAGAAAACCAGACATTAAGACAGCCACAGAAGTAACAACACCATTAACATATCAAGAGAGATGGATCCCATTACTAAAACCATTGACTATAGTAACAGCAACCAGGAAATACTTCACTTAACACAACAACTGAGTCATTTTTCAGAAAGCTAAGGATATAGGTAAGCACAGAAAAGAGGCAGTTACTTAAATCTGATTGATTAATGAATAACTATAGGGAAATACACCTAAAACCATTTTATGAATTATGAAAAAATTTCAACTTGAATGAAGTCAGGCTATCTGCAGTTTGCATTCCTTTTTTCACCCTACAGTCTTTAGCTGGCTGGTTGCCTTACCTGGATGTCTGGCACTTCTGCCAGAACCTGACAATAAGAAAAGGTGACAGGCTGCAAACACAGCAATATTAACACCTAAGATATGAACACATTCAGTTTCCTGTTTGGTTTCAAGATATGCAAGCCACAGTTTTATATTTCCCTGTTTCAAAGCTTGGGAAGATGTGGAATTGCACAAGCACAATTGTTCATAAATATTTTATTCTGATTTCCTTCTGATACCATCAGAATGAAATTTCAAAAGCACACTCACCTTTTCCTTAAACTGAAGTACTGGAAATCTACAATACTACCTCAGATCAGAAAATAATCCTTTGCATAGACTGTTGCAATCAGTGCTAAGTATTGCATAGTCATACAGCCTAGGCAAAACTCAGAAACCCATAGATGTGCATATTGTCATGCAATATTTAACAGCAACACTATTTTGTTCACGCTGAACAAGGCCTTCTACCCTTTACAATAGTTTCCTTAATTCGATAAACAGTGCTCCCTTGCCATACTAGGAAGAAACTCCAAAACGTTTTACCAAAAGCCATATAACTGAAAAATATTTTTCAGTTATACATTGCCCTCAGAATAATTTTACAAGCATTTGTAAATTCTTTTCGGTCTAGATAAAAAAAAAATTAGGTGCCAGGTCTGTAAATACCAGATGAAGTAAAGGCTGTGTGAGCAGTGCATGAGAAACAGTCAAGCCCCTTTTCCCTGCTCTCTGCAATATGAAAGTGCTTTGAAGTAATTTCCAGTCATTAAGCTACACCTTCATCACTTCACTGACAAAATCTATTACCCTTGTAGCACTTAATACAGTCAGCTTTTCAATTTCAAAGTAACTACTGAATACCCAGCCAGCTTATCCTCCATTAAAAGTACCACGTAGCAAGTCAGAGAACATTTAACTACCTAGCAAAACGAATTAATTAAAGCAATTTGTATCAATGTTATTGCCCAACACTCAGAATGTATTATGACTTTGCAATAATGATCACAATGTATTCTTTTAAAAATCCTCCTCCTTTGACTAACATTTTCACCACAGTTTAACATCATGCAAAGGAATTTCAGGTTCACTGTTCAGCTAAAATGTCCTACATTTAATAAATAAATAATAAATAGAGAAAGTGAGAGTAAAATATTATTTTTTGTTTAAACAACTGCATAAAATGACCAAATCAGAGAAAACAACTGCAACACGAGATCTCCTGAATTAGTGGAGCTGGACAGTTTTCTCAGACTACCTCAGCATGAATAACAGCCTTGTGTATATACACACACACATCTGGCTGGTTCTACTGGGCCCTATGTAGCTTTCTACATAGCTTTCTGAAAATCTAAATACACAATAATACCAGTTCTCCAAGACTAAGAAAAACTTTCATGCATTCTCTAACTTTTGAATTTTAAAAACAAACATTTTAAACCAGAAGATGCCATTCAACCCATCTCTTTCATGTGATTACCAATAGATCCAAAAGTTTCATTCAGCCTTTTCTTGCAAAGCTTTGTGACAACCCTGCATTCATTGGATAAACATATCATTGAATGAAAAGTATGGTTATTCCACACTGGAGCACTAACATGTCAGAATGTTCCAGTAAACAAAGCTCTGTATCCAAGCTGTAAGATGACTGTTTTCTGTCACGAAATTCAGGAACCGTTCTTTTGCATAGCTGTCTGTCATATAACTGAAAAAGCAACATATCTGATGTTACCTGTTAAAAATAAACAGATGTTGGAAAGTCTACTATGTTTCATCAGCCATTACAGCTATGCACATGGCTTAGTGTACTGATCATTTTAAAACATCATCCAGAGCCTGAGGCTTATAATAATTACTTCTACTTAAGAAACATGTGTCTTCATTGTTTTTGCTAAATGCGATTTCCTGTTTTCTAAAATCAATGACAGAATCCATGAAGCATACAAGATGCTTCCTATCTTTTCCCTCTGCCATTTGTTATGTATAGCATCCCTCTGCAGCATCTGTTCTAGCTGAACGCCATGGTTTAATCCGCACGTTTCAAGTGTCACACAAGGCTCCTAC